AATTGATATTCGTACTTTGAGCTTTATCGTTTTCTGTTTCATTCTTCAGAACTTTCTAGAAGCGTCTACTTGCAACACGCGCAAAAAGTGTTTTTTAGTTTTTGATAAGCATTAATTTGTGAGTTAGGACGTGTGTGAATCGGTAACAAAGTTCTATGGGGAAAGCAGTTGAATAATATTTTTACTATGGCGAGACAGTTTTGCCAATCTGCTGTGTGAAATTAAATATTTTTTGACAGCAGTACATTTTTGATAACCGCAGATTTATTTGGAATAAAATATTACAAATTGAAGTGAAATGAATATTTTAAGAAAACGTCTACCATCGTTGATTGCAATTCATCTATTTAAGCTTTTATTTAACGAAAAATTACACACATCAACAATCTTTGCGATTGTCAAAATTTTCTATGCTTTGTCAAAAATTTCACTAGCCTCATGAGCTACTGAAATTTTATTCACCTCATTGTTGTCAACAATTTACTCGACGCGAACTTTGTTACCGATTCACACATACTCTTAATAAAAATTGTTAATTTTAATTATATCTACATGTGGAGTTTTATTACCCCACAACACCATACGTCAGTTCCTTTGAACTTCGGACTAAAACCTGTGGAACTGTCAAACTACAATTTTACTCTCTCAAGTGAGAGTAAAAGGAGAACAGATCCAGAAGTGCACGGATCCGCAAAAAGCACTATTTCCTGCAAAAACGTCAATCAGTTTGTTTACATTTCATTTGTATAACACTGAAATATCACTAAATAATTATTAAAATCTGTACATATTTAAATATTTCGTTGTTTACCTCCATTTTTTTGAAGTGAAACTTCTTAGGCGGCGGTATCGCAAAAATGGAGTAAAATTTTTAAAACTGAAAACGTTACATGAGTGAGAAGGAAGATATAGGTAGTATACGGAAGGGGAAAAAAGAAATAAAGCGACGCATGACGGGTACGAGTACCTACATATGTATATATGTATGTATGTTTGAATGCACGTATGTATGTATACATATATATATGTATACATATATATGTATGTATGAACGAACTCATTGCGCATTTCAGCTCTGCCGCTACCAAGCAATATATCGTCGTTTAAAGTACAAAACCGCGTATTGTCATTCTGCAAAACCGCGTAACTGACATTGGCTGCCAAAAATTTGATTTTATCACACAAGCTCTTGGCTCAATCCTTATCCGTTCGTCCTGAAACATACCAGCCACAAATGCGATTGCTTTATAAAAAAGAGAACCATTTTGAAATATGAGTGTTTTCACCCTCTAGAAAATAATTTCTACAAATTCACATAAGCGGTTTTGCATTTTGCTGATACGCGGTTTTGCATTTTGTTGATACGCGGTTTTGCACTTTAAACGACGATATGTATAAATGATGCAAACGGGCTTCGTTGATGTACTGATGGGCATATGTATGTACTTATGGACAGCAATGTTTTCATGTATGTACATATGTTTGAATGGTTGTATAAATATTTGTGTATGTACATATGTTTGTGTACATGTATATATGCACATACATATGTAGTACAAACGAAAACAAATCTAATAAGCTGCTGGTTGATATAAATGCGAACTGTACTGATTGTCAAAAATTATAGGGGTATTCTCGATCCGGTGCATACTGCCTAGCATGGAGGATAGATAGCATAAATAGCATGATTGGCTAATTTTGTTGTTGTTTGAATCCTCCATGCTAGAGAGTATGCACCGGATCGTGACAACCCCTTATGTGTTTGTGTACATTTGTTCATGTTTGCCATTGTGCATGATGCAATAATACAAGGTGGTATCAGTTGGGACAGCTCGATTTGACACTGCCTTAGCTCAGCAGTAGGAGAAGAAAAACGGGAAAAAATGAATCCCCATATGGGGGAAAAATATAAAATTTCACATTTTCTCCTAAACAAAATTTGGTTTTTTTATACTGTATTCGTTATGAAATGAAATAAAATAAGATAAAATACTTTTTAAGAAAACAAAGTGTGTATACTGAGAAAAAATAAAAAACATTCAACTATGGCCCCTATTATGAGTTGCATTCGATTTTCGACTGTGGTCGAAAGTGCTGAGCGAACGAATTTTCATTTGGTATTATGGCGCTCATTCGATGAAGAATAGCGCTATTGTGAATTTCGCTCGTTTAGGTTGTTCATAATAGTATATTTTTCACCGCTGAGAAGCTTTGTTTACAAATCGAGCAAACTAAATAGTGTGCTTATACATATTTATGTAAATTTGTTCTAATTAAAATGAAGTAAAAAAGAAAGCAAGTTTATAAAAACGTGGTAAAATGAGTACAACGAGTTCTGGTTCAACGATTCGTCAGAGGATGAGAGCTTAGTAAACTGGCCAGGAGTAGCAAATGTTTAAGAGAGTTTAAGTTTATTAGTCTTTCGAATATATTTTGATATAAAATATATTTAAGAAATTTGTCTACAGATTCATTAAAAAGTTCCGACCATCTAAAGAGGCGTTTGTGAGCCAAATCTATTTAAAATATTTTAAAACTATCAACAGCGCTACGATTTTGTTCTCAGAGATCGTGGCAACAGAGTATTGTGATTTTCTTTCACAAGTAAGGCTGGTTTCGTGCTTGTGTTTAGTATTCACGATGTTAGAACTGTATGAAATTAATAAAAATTGTTTAAAATTAGTGTCTAGCCGCCAAAATGTAAGAAAACATACACAAAATCATAAATTTTTCACAATTTTCTAACACTTCGCTACACCATCGAAAGCAAAATTCTGTTCGACAGAAAATTCGATACTCAACGAAAATTTCGACACGCTTGCATAGCTCATAATACGAATTTCACTTTCGATCTTCGATAGCCAGCGAAGATCGAAAATCGAATGCAGCTCATAATAAGGGCCTATATTAATGGGCAAAGAATAGTGAAAGAAATAACACTGTTTCACGTAAGGCAGTCAATATGGCGGAATTAGAGCGAGAAGTTGCCAACTGATAACACCTTGTATTATTGCATCATGGCCATTGTGCATGTAATTTTCTAGAGTAGTTTTGTGCTCTCGCTATTTCCTTGTATTAACTCGTCCTTCGTTGGTATACTCTGATGAACATATGTGAGGATGATAGCAAGGCCAACTTATATAAGGTAGTGTTACAGGAGCAGTTGAAATTTTCGCCCGATGTTTCTTAAAGAAAGCCATGAACATAGCGACCGTTGGTTCAAGTTGGTGTTATTTTGCTCTAGATTGCACCGTTTGTGGGTCTGTTGAATAAATTTATGGCTTGGTTGTATGAAAGCTCAAAAAATTTGGATTTTCTGGCAAGTTGTGCAACTTATCGCTACATTAATGGCCATGTTGTACAAACTCATTTAATTTGCGTTTACTTTGTACACTAAATAACCGAAAAAGGAAAACTCAGCCGAAATAGGTACGTGCTTTCGTTGAATTTTATAAATGTAAGCCGAAACTATGAAATTGTAAAAATGAGATTTTACAATGAGACTGCTCGCAAAATTGCAATGTTTGTGGGCAAAACGTCCAACTTGATTGTGCATTGATTTGAACCAACATTTTCGGCTTGCGTTATGTCAAAAGGAGGTCGGCAAAAAATCCTCCGGCTGAACCCTCCACGAGGGTGCTGACTGGTAATGGGCACTACAGAGGATTCTGTGCGATGTCAGAATGGTGCTCAGCTAAGATCAGGAATCAGTGCTATGTGCTAAACTCCTTAATAGCGTAGTCATATGGAAATGGTTTCTGATCGTGGCTTGGAGGTCTGAAGGGGCTGGATCAAGGCGTCACGCGCACCGTACCGAGGATCGGCCAGGCTGGGGGCCCCTAAATAGCCCAGTCGCGAACGGAGCCCTCTGGGAGGCGGCCACACCCAGGATGTAAGTAGGCCTTACCTGGGCATCGCGGATCTCTGCCCGGGTGGACGAACCCCTTTCTCCGCAGCCCGTGGGATCTATTATGGAAAAGAAACAATTAACAACAACAACAACAAAAACAGCAACAACAACATCAAAAACAATGTTTAAAGGGACCGGCCCCCTTAAAGCGTCGGAAGGGTCTCGGCCAAGGAGCTCAAGCGATGCAGAGTACCTCCACCAGCCGTAGTGCGGTGACAAATAGCGGGAAACCAAGGCCAATGGTGAAACCGGGCCAAGCTCTCGCAAAAACGATGGAAAGTGGCGGTGGGGCTGCTCAAAGGAGTCCACCCCGGGAAACTCCTGGCACCAGTGGACGCCAACCTGGCATGCAGATTGCAGCCGGGGATAAGGCTGAATCTGGGGCGCAGGCCCCGGGCGGTCCTCCCGCGACACCCACGGCCTTCACGAGGCCTGACCAGAGGCCAGAACCAGCTGCAGCGGGCTATCGGCAGAGGAAGCTAGCTGCTCGAATCCTGCAAAGGTTCACCGCAACGCCTGACCTGTGTAGCAAGGCGAAAGAAGAGCATGTGAAGGAGATCCTCACAGAAATCGACTGGGCAAAGGCAGTCCTGCCCGACTACCGCAAGCCGGAGGAGAAGCAGCCGCAGGCGCCCTCCAGTAAGCGCAATAGATCGGGGGAAAATACGCCCAACCAATACGCAAAGAGGGTCAGAACGCAGGGGCCTTCTTTTGCTGAAGTAGCCAAGGAGCAGATCCTGCTCGGCGTCATCGATGAGAGCAATGAAGACAGCCTCACCCTGAGGCAGCAATGGAAGTGGGTTAAGGCCGCGATGGCCGACATTGCTATCAACATTATGTTGGAGAATCCGGGACCTCCGCCAACCTGCAAGGGAGCGGGGTGGTTCCAAAATAACATCCGCGTTATAGCATGCGAGGATGCCAGATCAGCGGAGATCTACAAGAAAACAGTTGCAGGTATTGGAGAAGTCTACCCTGGTGCGAAGCTCAGGGCGGTCGACTTCAAGGACCTACCGGTGCGACCGAGAGCGAGAGCATGGTTGCCTTGCAAGCCAGCGGAGCCAGAAAGGATTCTCCAAACCATAAGGCTCTATAATCCGGAGCTACCTACCGATAGTTGGAAGGTGGTCAAAATCAACGAAAGCGGTAAAGCGACGATGCAGGTTGTCCTGCTTCTAAATAAGGACTCCATAGAGTTGTTGGAGCAAAAGAGCGGGGTCATACGTTACGGCTGTGACATGGCCAAAATTAAGGTCTACAGCAACGACGTAAACGCAGCGAGGAACCTGATCGCGGAGGTAGAGCCGGAAGAGGCCAACAGCGACGTGGAGATGGAGGAAGAATCCGAGCAGGTTGATCCGATGGACGACCTGACCGGGGGTTATGCCTCATCGACGTCTTCGCTGGGGGTCGGACGCATGCTTCGGCTTTATACGGAGGAGGAGTTGATCGAGATGTCGGAAGACGCGGTCAACTCCACCCTAATAGGCGACGTGGGCGATAACGGCCAAGATGGTGAAGGTACTGCAGATTAACCTTCACCACTGTAAAGCAGCTTCAGCTGCACTGCTGCTCCGTCTAACAGCTAAAGGGGCAGCCGACATCGTCCTAATCCAAGAACCTTGGGTGGTGGGACAAAACATTTGTGGGCTGAAAGCGCCGGGCTACAGACTGGTAAGTGGAGCCTCAACGGGGAAACCAAGGACGTGCATATTGATAAGTATCACACTAAAGTGTCTCTTTCTTCCACAATTTAGCGACGAGGACACAACAGCGGTCAGTCTAAGTGCAAACGGCCGACCAATTAGGATGGCATCCATGTACCTAGCGCATGACAAGGAGGTGCCAACTACCTGCATTAAAGACCTAGTGGCCAGCACGAGAGAGGCGCTAATTTTGGGAGGTGACGCGAATGCCCACCATCACACCTGGGGCAGCTCCGATGATAACGAACGGGGTGAGTCACTTTTTGATTTCATACTTAGTTCTAAGCTTGTTATTGCGAATAGGGGGAATGATCCCACTTTTATTACAAAATCCCGAAGGGAAGTTCTGGACGTTACCCTTATCTCTGCGAATGCGGAATGTCTGGTCGGGAAGTGGAAGGTGCTTGAGGAGCACTCCTTTTCCGACCACCGATATATCCAATTCGAGGTATTAGGGGAAACGCCCAAGGCTCCTCTAACTAGAAACTTGCGAAATGCCAACTGGCATAGGTATCGGAAAGAGCTGGATAGGCTTTTGCCACAAGATAGAGAGCCGGCTACTCCAGCAAACCTAGAGGAGCTGGAATATCTTGTCGACCATTTTACGGGGGCCTGCAGAAAGGCAATAGACATTGCATGCCCCAAAAAGCAGCACCGGGGTAGGAAAAAGCCACCCTGGTGGAATGAAGAAATCAGGATTTCACGCAAGAACTGCAGGAAAACCTTCAATCAGGCTACTGCGTCTGGTAGTGAGGGACATTGGGAGACCTACAAGACAGCGTTACGGGAGTACAAGAAGCTCCTAAGAAGGTCGAAAAGAACCTCATGGAAAGACTTCTGCAATGGGGTGGAGTGTATCTCAGAGGCAGGCAGGCTCAGAAAGATACTCTCAGGTACTGCCCAGAAAGCCCCAGGATGCTTGCAAAGACCTGACGGCTCCTGGACAGAGACCGAGGAGGAATCACTGGATCTGCTTCTTTGCACACACTCCCCGGGTGCCACGGATAGCATGCCGGTACAGCCACATCTAACTGGAGATCTTTCGGTCACTGGAGATTTCCTCACTAGGGAAAAGGTCATCTGGTCTATTGGGACATTTAAGCCCTATAAATCAGCAGGTCCGGATGGCATTGCCCCCCATACAGCTGCAGCAAACACTTCAGCTAAGCTCAGCGTGGCTACACGCTATAATTAGGGGAGTATTAGCTCTTAACCATATCCCTAGAAAGTGGAGGGAATCAGGAGTGGTGTTCATCCCCAAGGCAGGGAAGGTGTCTCACAATAACCCAAAGGATTTCAGGCCCATCACCTTGTCGTCATTTCAACTGAAGGTTATGGAGAGACTGGTGGAGGTCCGTATCAGAGAGTCGGTTGGTGACAGACTCTCTACCACACAACATGCTTATACGAAAGGTAGATCTACAGAAACGGCGCTACATGAAATAGTGTCGTATATAGAGAGATCACTAGACATCAAAGAATATACGCTAGCAGCCTTCCTGGATATAGAGGGCGCCTTTAACAACATCATGCCGGGCGCGATAACGGCAGCACTGGCGGGCCTGGGCATCGACTCGCGCTTAGTTGCGCTCGTAAACCAAATGCTGCGATGCAGGGTGGTCCGGGCGGAGCTGGCGGGGGTATCGTTGACCAGGTTCGTAGAGAGGGGCACCCCGCAAGGGGGAGTCCTATCCCCTCTTTTATGGGTCGCAGCGGTAAACTCACTGCTGTGTGGTATGGAGGGGGGTGGCTGTAAGGTTATTGCGTATGCGGATGATCTTGCACTAACAGTAAGTGGGAAATTTCCACAGACTCTATGTGACATTATGCAGGTAAAACTGAAGGAAGTCGAGAGTTGGACAAAAAATAACGGGCTAGGGGTAAACCCAAGCAAGACAGAACTTGTACTGTTCACAAGAAGGTACAAAATCCCCCCATTGATAACACCAAGGCTGGCACAGACCACACTAAAATTAAGCGAATCCGCTAAATACCTGGGGATAGTCCTAGATAGAAAATTAAGCTGGATTCAAAACACCGAAGAGCGGGTGCGGAAGGCCACGGTTGCCCTATACAGCTGCAGGAGAGCAATCGGCCAAAAATGGGGTTTAACCCCGAAGCTAGTGCACTGGATATACACCGTCGTGGTGAGGCCCATACTTCTGTACGGGGTAGTGGTATGGTGGCCAGTGCTGGAGAAGAAAGTAAACATTATTAAATTACAAAAAGTGGAGAGAACGGCCCTGATCTGCATTAGTGGTGCTCTCCGCACAACACCTACTATGGCAATGAACACGATCCTCAACATCATACCCATAGATATCATGGGACGACAATACGCTGCGTTTGCAGCCCTAAGACTACAGGGGCTTAAAAGCTGGAAAGTGGCTCGCTGTGGTCACACTACAATTCTGAGAAACCGACAACTACCGAGTACAAAGGACTACTGTGTACCAAGGCTCACTTTCACTAAAGGTTATAGCGTAATGCTACCTAGCAGGGAATCATGGCTCGAAGGAGTTCCGGGGTCTAAAGATGCCATAAGATTCTACACGGACGGCTCCAAACTAGAAAATAGGGAAGGAGGAGGCGTCTACTCGGAGAAATTGGGAATAAAAAGATCATTCCGACTACCTGACCACTGTAGTGTCTTTCAAGCCGAATTGGCAGCCATACAAGAAGCCGTTGACAGCCTAAAACTAGCTGTTATCGCCACTACGGAAATATATATATACTCAGACAGCCAGGC